GTTAATGAGTCTTCCTCCAATCCTGATGCCACGTTTTTCTTCATAGAACCCAGCTTCTCGTATTATTTGCTCAGCATACAGGTTGAATAAGTATGATGAAAGAATACAACGTTGTCGCACACCTTTCTTAATTTTAAAACATTCAGTGTTTCCAAGCTCTGTTCGAACAACTGCTTCTTGGTCCAGGTACAGATTCCTCATAAGTACAATTAAGTGTTCTGGAATACTCATAATTTGCAATTTCATATGTGTACTTCAGAGTATGTCCTTCACCTCACACAAGTGTACTTGGATGATCCTTCTAATATTTGCAGATTGTGGATATCTTCTCTCACATTGGGTGCATGGTGGTTCCAACCTTAAGAAATGGACTAAGAACCACTAGGTCTATGGTTCAAGTCCTTCAGATGCTCCATGTGAGCAAGCTGAAACTTTCTGCTGCTGAAAAGATGTAAAGCCTTGGAAACTCTATGTAGGGTCGGTATGAGGTTGAACCAACATGGCAGCATTTAAAAACGAACAATAATCTGTCACATTATTGCTGTACCTTCATTTGACCTTCACTATATTTTGGAGTACTTCAAATGTACTTTATTATTTCAAATGCTTTTTCGTTTCTTTGGAAATATAACTCATTTTTCTATTGTTTTGGAGGACCCCTCAGGGGTGGGGAGAAATGGAGTGAGAATTCCATCTTACTACCTTCTTTTAACTTATTTTTCAAGAATCTGTCAATTTCAGAAATAAGAAGTAGAAGACACAATGTAATGGTGGCTCTGGACATTTCAGCTGAGAGCAGGGATAAAGTATTGAGGGACAGAGGAAGAGTGGTCTGGGATGTGGGAAAACATACATATGCACAGATGGCTGGGAACTTTCATCAGGCTTTGTAGATAGAAGGTTTAAAGCATTAATAATGAATGAATAAATTGAGTGGACTCACATATACACTATTGGGCTTTCCTTGCAGGGATTCATGGAGTCAGACGCTGGTATCAACAAAACAGCGGTTACTGAGTTCATACTTCTGGGCCTAGTGGAATCAGAACAGTTTCAGTTTGTGGTCTTTATACTCTTCCTGTTTGCCTATGTGGTTACAGTTGGGGGCAACCTCAGCATCTTGTCAGCCATCTTGATGGAGCCCAAACTCCACACCCCCATGTACTTCTTCCTGGGGAACCTGTCAGTGCTGGATGTTGGATGTATCACTGTCACAGTTCCTCCTATGTTGAATCGTCTCCTCTCCCACAAACGTGCAATTTCCTATGAAGCTTGCCTCTCACAACTTTTCTTCTTCCACCTTATGGTTGGAATGGACTGCTTCCTGTTGACAGCCATGGCCTATGACCGTTTCCTGGCCATCTGTCAGCCCCTCACCTATAACACCCGCATGAGCCAGGAAATCCAGAGGATATTAGTGGTTGTGTCTTGGGCTTGTGCTCTCAGCAATGCACTGACCCACACTATTGCCCTCTCTACTCTCAACTTCTGTGGTCCCAATGAGGTCAATCATTTCTACTGTGACTTACCACAGCTCTTCCCGCTCTCCTGCTCTAGCACCCAACTCAATGAGCTGTTACTCTTTGGTTTGGGCTTCATAATGGGAGGTTCCCCTGTGGTTCTCATCATCATCTCCTACACCCATGTGACAGCTGCAGTTCTACGAATCCGTTCAGTGGAAAGCAGGAAGAAGGCTTTCTCCACATGTGGCTCCCACCTCACTGTAGTTTGCCTCTTCTATGGGACAAGTATCTTCAACTACATGCGCCTGGGTTCAGAGACGGCTTCAGACCAGGATAAAGGGGTTGGGGTCTTCAACACTGTCATCAATCCCATGCTGAACCCAGTCATCTACAGCCTTAGAAACTCTGATGTTCAAGGTGTTTTGTGGCGGATACTTAGAGGGAGGTGGTCACTAACCTGAGGAGCAATAAAGACCTTTCTTTCTTCCCTTTTTATTTTTTTGTTGTTAAGAAATATTTTTTTTAGGATTTGTCCTACAAGAGAATACTATCCAATTCATTAAGTCATTCAACAAATATTTATTGAATTACTTCTATGACTTAAACACTATTTTAGGGTTGGTGAACAAAACAGACAAAAGTCTCTATACTCATGCAAATCATGTCCTAATAAAGAAAGACAAAAGAAATATAATAAATAAGCATCATATAAGGTATATTGCATTTTATAAGGATTATAGAGATAAACAAATAAGATAAGGAGGTACAAAATTAGTTCTGACAAGCCAGTCCCTTAGCAAGTTGCTACTTTGTTTCTGACTGTCCTCACTTCTGGGTAGAGTTGAATCCGTGGATGTCCTGTAGACCTGGACAACATCATCCTATAGATAGAGGCCATTCAGATTAGTCAAACCTAGGTCCCCAAGACATGTTGTTGTTGTCAGGTGCCATCGAGTCAGAACCGACTCATAGAGACCCCATGCACAGCAGAACAAAACAATGTCCGATCCTGGGCCAACCCCATCACCGCTGCCACACTTGA